CTGCGCCTTTTGTGTTGCTGAATAGCCCGGAGCGCTGCAATGACTGCAGCACAGGCAACGTGCGTCCCGCCAGCATGCGCCTCGAAAGTGGATCCAAGACCTGGGCCGACGGCGCGGCAACGCCCTGACAGTGCCCGCTGTGCTCTTCCACCGCTCTCTGCCGGCGACTGGCGCCAGTGCGGAAAGCCCTGGCCAAGTTGACCCTCAGCGGCTTCTTTCGAACTGTCGCCTTGCCCCTCTTGCGCCACCGTCGCACACCGCACAGCCTGCGCGAGGCAATGGCAGCAGGCATGTTGCTGTAGTTGGCAGCGGCAGTCCCCCCGGGGAGCTGCTTCTGTAGGTGCAGCTGGCCTTGAGAGCCCATGGCTGCTAACAGTAAAAAGTGAATGTGCAGTGCAAGTCACTGAAGAACACATGCCGAGCCACCAGCAAAAAGTACCACTATCCGCCTTCCACCACGCCTCCGCGACTGAAGGCCTTCAGCAGCGCGATGCCTGGAGGTGCGCCGAGAATGCCGCAAAGAGAAGCACAGCCAGCGTTGCCCTTTTGCAGCTGCACGCGCCCAAAAAAAAAACACGAGTCAAGTGCCCATCAACGCACGTTCACTTCATAGGCTTGGACAAGTGATCGCGCAAGCACAACTTAGCAAACTCAATTTGTATAACAAACCATCTGCATGCGTGCACTCACACACAACTTGCGGCCAGCATGGATACACCCATGGATGCACCCATGTTTCTTAAGGCCGCTGCTTGGACTGCACTGCTACCATCTGCGCTCTTTTCTGCTCGCGGCGCGAGGTCGCGGTGACAGCCAACGTACCCTGTATCCGGAGACTTGCGCGTGCCTGGCTTCTCGACACAAGCCTAATGCAAGACAGGCCCTGGTTCTTTAACGCTGTGCCTCCTTCAATAAAAGAGCTTTCTACCGCGCTTGGCTTCCCGACACAAGCATGATGGAAGACCGGCCCTGGTTCGTTGATGCTGTCCCTCCTATGATAAAAAGGTCTTGCTACCAATCGCAGCATTTTTGTTATTGCAGGGCATATGTATTCACAGGGTACCGGGGTACCAGAAACCTGTTGGGGGCTCCGCTACCATGAAAAGTATGAGAAGGCTTCTCAGCCAGCACAAACAAGGCCCATGCAGTCTGACAGTCTCTCAGCAGTACTCCTTGCTCCATCATCTGAAAAACATGGCAGTGCCCTGGGCAGCTGCCCTGGGCAGGTAGATATATAGCCTGATAGATAGATAGCTACATAGACAGACAGGCAGACAGATAGAGAGATAGATTAAATAGATAGACTAGACACATAGCGAGATAAATAGATTAGACAGATAGATAGACAGGCAGACAAACAGATAGATAGATAGACACATAGATACATAGATTGGATAGATAAATAGATAGATCGATAGATAGATAGACAGCGGGATACATAGACTGAAAGAGAGATAGACAGACGCACAGAAAGCTAGCAAGTTGGATGGGTGGATAGATAGGTAGCAGGCTAGCAAGATAGACAGATAGAAGAATGGATAGAAAGATGCACTGAAAGCTAGCTAGCTAGCTAGCCAGCAAGATGGATGGGTAGATAGCAGGCTAGCAAGATAGGTAGATAGACAAATGTACAGACAAATAGACATATAGATAGACACACCGCGGGATGGACAGATAGAGAGATAGCAAGAAAGATATGTGTGTCTGCGCAGTGATCATCTCACTTTCCAACGTTAACTGGGAGGGCGCTGCAAGCCTACTTCCATGATTGCTTCTCAAAGGTACACTAACCTCCACTCTTCTATTTTTCTGTTCATTGGCTCCGCAGACAGAGGTTGCGAAAGTTGCAGCCCGGCTCTCTCTCTCTCTCTTTCTCTCTCTCTGTCTCTCTCTCTCTCTCTCTCTCTCTCTCTCTCTCTCTCTCTCCCTCCATACTGGTATGTGTGTGTGTGGTGTGTGCGTCTGTGTGTGTGTGTCTGTGTGTGTGTCTGTGTGTGTGCGTGACTTTGTGTGTGTGTCTCTGTCTCGTCTCGTCTGGTCTGTGCTGCGCAGTGCTGTCTCCTTAGGGCTGTTGGCTGAGCTCTAGGTGAGGTTGTAGAACCAAGCCATCAATGGATCATCTTCTGAGAATCAAAAAAAGGCATGGCACACACACACACACGCGCACACGCGCTTGTGATGCTTGTTCACTAACCTGTTCCAAGAGTTCAGTTTGGCCATGAATATAATCTACTTGCCCACGCCCAGAAATTCGCACACAGCCCTCCGACCCGTTTGCCAGGCGATTCGCCTGGAGGGAACTGCGTGTCACCGGCCCTTGACAATGCTCGCCCGGCCTTTCCTTGCTTTAGCCGCGCCTTTCCATGCCCCCGCCACACCGCGAGACTTCCATTCAAAACCTAGTGACGGGTGAGTAGGGATTGATGATCCCAAGCCTGGAAACTGGGACGGCGGAATGTGTCTCCGCAACTCGTCTTCGCCTCAGAATTCGTCTTCGCGGAATGTGTCTTCGCAATTTGACTTCGCTACGCAATTCGTCTTCGCCTCCGAATTCGTCTTCGCGGAATGTGTCTTCGCAATTTGACTTCGCTACGCAATTCGTCTTCGCCTCCGAATTCGTCTTCGCGTAATGTGTCTTCGCAATTTGACTTCGCTCCGCAATTCGTCTTCGCCTCCGAATTCGTCTTCGCGGAATGTGTCTTCGCAATTTGACTTCGCTCCGCAATTCGTCTTCGCCTCCGAATTCGTCTTCGCGGAATGTGTCTTCGCAATTTGACTTCGCTCCGCAATTCGTCTTCGCCTCCGAATTCGTCTTCGCGGAATGTGTCTTCGCAATTTGACTTCGCTCCGCAATTCGTCTTCGCCTCCGAATTCGTCTTCGCGGAATGTGTCTTCGCAATTTGACTTCGCTCCGCAATTCGTCTTCGCCTCCGAATTCGTCTTCGCGGAATGTGTCTTCGCAATTTGACTTCGCTCCGCAATTCGTCTTCGCCTCCGAATTCGTCTTCGCGGAATGTGTCTTCGCAATTTGACTTCGCTCCGCAATTCGTCTTCGCCTCCGAATTCGTCTTCGCGGAATGTGTCTTCGCAATTTGACTTCGCTCCGCAATTCGTCTTCGCCTCCGAATTCGTCTTCGCGGAATGTGTCTTCGCAATTTGACTTCGCTCCGCAATTCGTCTTCGCCTCCGAATTCGTCTTCGCGGAATGTGTCTTCGCAATTTGACTTCGCTCCGCAATTCGTCTTCGCCTCCGAATTCGTCTTCGCGGAATGTGTCTTCGCAATTTGACTTCGCTCCGCAATTCGTCTTCGCCTCCGAATTCGTCTTCGCGGAATGTGTCTTCGCAATTTGACTTCGCTCCGCAATTCGTCTTCGCCTCCGAATTCGTCTTCGCGGAATGTGTCTTCGCAATTTGACTTCGCTCCGCAATTCGTCTTCGCGGAATGTGTCTTCGCAATTTGCTTCGCTACGCAATTCGTCTTCGCGGAATGTGTCTTCGCAATTTGACTTCGCTACGCAATTCGTCTTCGCCTCCGAATTCGTCTTCGCGTAATGTGTCTTCGCAATTTGACTTCGCTCCGCAATTCGTCTTCGCGGAATGTGTCTTCGCAATTTGTCTTCGCTACGCAATTCGTCTTCGCCTCAGAATTCGTCTTTGCGAAATGTGTCTTCGCAATTCGTCTTCGTCTTCGGGTACAAATAGCCCACGCCCACAGCGGCTACAATGTATATATATATATATATATATATGAATACACATCTATGTGCGTCTCTACGTGTCCAAGCCCCTTCAGTTTTCCGCAAGCACCGCCCCCTTCTCCTTGAGCTTCACGCTGATCCAGCCCTCGTCCGGCCCCTCGCCCTGCAGCAGCTCGTAGTGCAGCCGGTTCCCCGCGAGGTTTCGCTGCCGCAGCACCGCGCCGCGGCGCAGCCGCCGCGGCACCTCTGCGGAGCTCAGCGCTTGGCCCTCGCGCACCAGCAGCCCAGTTTGGTCCCCGCCCACCACGCGCCACATGGCAGCAGCTGGGCTGGTGGCTGGCTGTTTTTGTTTTGTGACTTCTTGGGAGTCTGTCTTTTTTATGACTTGTTGGGAGTCTGTTCTTGTGTTTGCGACTTTTTGGGAGTCGGAACCAAAGGAATGCTTCTTGGCCGCTTTTTGTTTGCCTTTTTGGGAGTCGGAACCACAGGGAAGTGTTTCTTTGAGGAAGAGTCGGAGTTCCAAAGGAGCGTGAGTTAGCGTCGGAACCAACGGATTTGTGTGTGTGTGTGTGTTTATAGATGTTTGGAGGTTTCTGCCACAGGGCAAATTGGACATACCGATAAAAAGTCGGAACTTCCTGTTGCTTTCCTGTTGCTTTTCAACTTCAAGCCAGTCTGTAAAGGGGGCCCTGGAAAACACATGGGGCCTCATGAGACGAGGCATTTCCTGATGTTTTTTGTACCTTGTCTCTCTTGTTGGATCAAAGAAAATTCGGAGCAAAGATTCTCGAACAAGACAGCAGGCGCTGGCTGGAAGCTCGAAGAGGAGGTCGCAACTTTCCAATTTTCGAGTGCAGAGGGGCGGGAAGCTCACCCCTTCGAAAGCTATGGCTATGCAGCGGTCGAGGCCACTGGGCAAGGCCTTCCGAGCCCAAAATTTCGAAGTGGCTAAGTTGGCCCAATCTGTGGGGCCATGTCAGATTGCGTGGAGCAGATCAGTCTGTCAAGCAAACAGGCTAGCTGAACCTGGAGCGAAGCTGTTTGATGTGAAATTCATGCCCCACTCAGATTCAACTTGGTGTGTTGTGCAGATTCAGCCGAATGCCTTGGGTGTTAGCCACATTCCACCACCAAACTCTCATCCAAACATATGGCCATGGGTCAAAAGCCCGTACCCGCAGTGAACATCCCGATCTCCACTAAAATAGGTTCTAAAATGGGTGGTGAAGGATCCCATTGGTTTTGACCCACTCTGAATCGGCATGTCTCTCTCATGCTGCTGCTTTCCGGAGCGAGCGAGCCTCCGTCTCCGTGCCCTCGTGCAAGGCGAAGAGCTGCTCCCGGGTCTCCAGGAACAGTCGGCACAGCCACTGCAAGTTGGACACCTACCGCAGGCGAAACCGAAAGCACACGAAAAACCCTGAAAAACCCGAGAGAGGCGGGTATGCACCAATTTCTGGCACCCGGGGCTGGCAGTCAAGCAGACGCCAGGTTTTAAACGCGTGATCTGAAAAGATGACGCGGGGGAGCCAGCCAGCCATCCCGTATGGCCTGGCTGGCCGCGTTTTTGCTTTTTTTTCATTCGGACATGAAAGAGGAACAGGAAGCTCCCCGCAAAGAGGTGGCACCTGGGTGTATGCACCTGTCCGATGCCGAACGGGGACCAAAGCATTTGCCCCTCGAGCTCCCCGCCAGCTCAGCTCGCTGCCGGCGCGAGGCTTGCGGCAAACCTGTCAAATACAGGGGGGCGCTCTAACGAAGCTCATGCGCAGCACGGACAACCTGCGAAACTGTACAAGTCTATGCACGTGTATGCATATATATATATATATGTGTGTGTGTGGGTGCATGTATGTTCACTGGGATACGCATATGCACTGGAATGCAGTCGTGTATGTGTATATGCTTTGCTAGGAGTATCCACCACAGTACTGCCTGTATATGCTGCACAGTACATGCACGGTATGAGTATGTACATGATGTATATGTGTATGTACATGTAGGGGTTTGATACATGCATATATGCATATACCTGTATATAAGAGTACACATACATACAGTACAGTTGTGTTTATGTATGTGCCTACGGAGCCGCACGTGTAGTCATGCCCACGTTTAGGAATGACAGGATGAGGTCATTTGGAGAGACTTGTTGGCTGCCTGTATGGACCAGGTTTCAGAGCACTCACCGTAAATATCAACAGCAGGGCAGCATCACCAAGCAGGTGTCACTGCCAATGTGCATGCCTCGCCTGGCATCAAAAGCCAAACTTGTGCACCGCTTTGTCTCGCACACCAAAGGGACCATGTGCCGCACAGACAAAAGTCTCCAGCAGATACCCTCCCTTCCACTAACATGGCACCTGCTGGAGGGTACCTGGAGGATCATTTTCCTCTTGCAGGGACTTGTCAAATGCCATGATATGAGGGAGGGTACGTCCAGGTGCTCCAACCCAACGACAGCTCGGCCGCGGCCTGCGTTGATCTGGGGCGCCGCAGGCGGCTCCAGCTTCGGATAGCCGCCTGGCAGAATGGCTCCAGCTGCTTCTCGTAAAATTTGGCCCGGGAGAAACACACGTGTTTGTTAGTTCCTCGAATGTCAGAACTGAGCACAGCCCGGCTTTTCCTGCGGTTTGTTTAGATATCATCCCTCATGTTCTCCCCAAACCGACACTTGACAGTTGCCCGGCTCGGAGGCCACTAAAGAAGCACTGCTGCTACGAGCCCTGTTCCTTTTTGGGGGCATTCCCCCGCAGATCGATTCCTGCACGTGGAATTCAAGTCATGCTGCTTTGGGTTCGCCTTGCACTTGAGCGAGCGTGAAGCTTCTTGATTCTAGCTCTTGTGCTTGCAATCTTATCTGTGAGGTGAACGTAGCCAGGATGATGGCCCCGGAGGGTGAGGAGCTTCACAAACCATCATGAGCATCCCTGCAAGGCTTCAAAGTCCCCAATCTCCCGGACAGCGCACCCTGCCTGAGGCTGCCGATGGGGCTGCGTGCACTTTCTGAGGAAAGTGCGCCGCTCCCACAGCCTCTTCTTCTGAGGACTCGGTCAGATCCACTTTGGCCATTTGCGCCTTGGCCTTTGGAGCCGTGCGCGGCTCTGGCGCTGGCGCTGACGCCGGCGCCGGCGCTGGCGCTGGCGTTGGCGCTGGCGCTGGCGCTGGCGCTGGTGCTGGCACTGGCGCTGGCACCTTTGACGGGGGTGGAGGCAATTGCGTCGGCAGGCTTGGAGGTGCTGCGGGTCGTTTCGGTGCTGGGGGCAGCGGGGCCATACGCTTTGGAGACACATCAGCTGGCGCAGAAGGAGCTGCCTCTTGGCCCAATCTGGGGGCCGTGCGCACTTCGTCCGCAGGCAATGGCGCTGGGCCATCCAAAGGCTCAGGTGCCGTGGTCGCTGGGAAAGGGTGCGGGGCAGGCACCTGGGCGAGCGCGGGCTCTGGCACTGGGGCAGGCGCAGGCTCACGTGCTGGGGCGGGTGCAGGCTCACTCGCTGCAGGCTCACGCGCTGCAGGCTCACGCACTGCAGGCTCAGGCGCTGCAGGCTCAGGCGCTGCAGGCTCAGGCGCTGCAGGCGCAGGCGCTGCAGGCTCACGCGCTGCAGGCTCACGCGCTGCAGGCTCAGGCGCTGCAGGCTCAGGCGCTGCAGGCTCAGGCGCTGCAGGCTCAGGCGCTGCAGGCTCAGGCGCTGGGGTTGAAGCAGGCTGTGCCGGAGCAGGCAAAGGCTCAGAGACCTGCAAAGGCTCGGGTGCGGGTGCAGGCTCAGGCGCAGGCGCAGGTGCGGCCACAGGGACCGGAGCTTTCGGAAGACTTGGCGGCAGTGTCCTGGATTTGGAGGAATAACCTCCCGTCGATGAAGCTGCGTGCTCCTCGCACGGAAAAAATACATCGCGGCAAGCAGGACTCAAGCAGCCCACGCGCCTCCACGCCGGCGAACACCTGCACAGGATTCACTCTTCACGTCTTGCAAACGACTACCAAACCCTAAAAACAACCAACACCCTAAAAACAACCAACACAACCAAAACCCTAAAAGCAACCAAAACAACCAAAACAACCAAAACAACCAAAACAACCAAAACAACCAAAACAACCAAAACAACCAAAACAACCAAAACAACCAAAACCCCAAAACAACCAAAACAACCAAAACCCCAAAACAACCAAAAACAACCAAAACAACCAAAACAACCAAAACCCCCAAAACAACCAAAACAACCAAAACAACCAAAACAACCAAAACAACCAAAACAACCAAAACAACCAAAACCCCAAAACAACCAAAACAACCAAAACAACCAAAACAACCAAAACAGCCAACACCCCAAAACAACCAAAACAACCAAAACCCCAAAAACAACCAAAACAACCAAAACCCCAAAACAACCAAAACAACCAAAACAACCAAAACCCCAAAACAACCAAAACAACCAAAACCCCAAAACAACCAAAACAACCAAAACCCCAAAACAACCAAAACAACCAAAACCCCGAAACAACCAAAACAACCAAAACCCCAAAACAACCAAACCAACCAAAACCCCTAAACAACCAAAACAACCAAAACCCCAAAACAACCAAAACCCCCAAAACAACCAAAACAACCAAACCAACCAAAACCCCAAAACAACCAAAACAACCAAAACAACCAAAACAACCAAAACCCCAAAACAACCAAAACCCCAAAACAACCAAAACCCCAAAGCAACCAAAACCCCAAAACAACCAAAACCCCAAAACAACCAAAGCAACCAAAACCGCAAAACAACCAAAACAACCAAAACCCCAAAACAACCAAAACAACCAAAACCCCAAAACAACCAAAACAACCAAAACCCCAAAACAACCAAAACCCCAAAACAACCAAAACAACCAAAACCCCAAAACAACCAAAACAACCAAAACCCCAAAACAACCAAAACAACCAAAACAACCAAAACAACCAAAACCCCAAAACAACCAAAACAACCAAAACCCCAAAACAACCAAAACAACCCAAAACAACCAAAACAACCAAAACAACCAAAACCCCAAAACAACCAAAACCCCAAAACAACCAAAACAACCAAAACCCCAAAACAACCAAAACAACCAAAACCCCAAAACAACCAAAACCCCAAAACAACAAAACAACCAAAACCCCAAAACAACCAAAACAACCAAAACCCCAAAACAACCAAAACAACCAAAACCCCAAAACAACCAAAACCCCAAAACAACCAAAACAACCAAACCCCCAAAACAACCAAAACAACCAAAACCCCAAAACAACCAAAACAACCAAAACAACCAAAACAACCAAAACAACCAAAACCCCAAAACAACCAAAACAACCAAAACAACCAAAACCCCAAAACAACCAAAACCCCAAAACAACCAAAACCACCAAAACCCCAAAACAACCAAAACCCCAAAACAACCAAAACCACCAAAACCCCAAAACAACCAAAACCACAAAAACCCCAAAACAACCAAAACCCCAAAACAACCAAAACAACCAAAACCCCAAAACAACCAAAACAACCAAAACCCCAAAACAACCAAAACCCCAAAACAACCAAAACAACCAAACCCCCAAAACAACCAAAACAACCAAAACCCCAAAACAACCAAAACAACCAAAACAACCAAAACAACCAAAACAACCAAAACCCCAAAACAACCAAAACAACCAAAACAACCAAAACCCCAAAACAACCAAAACCCCAAAACAACCAAAACCACCAAAACCCCAAAACAACCAAAACCCCAAAACAACCAAAACCACCAAAACCCCAAAACAACCAAAACCACAAAAACCCCAAAACAACCAAAACCCCAAAACAACCAAAACAACCAAAACCCCAAAACAACCAAAACAACCAAAACCCCAAAACAACCAAAACCCCAAAACAACCAAAACAACCAAAACCAAACTCTTGCCAGTGCCCTCGGTGACATCTCGGGCTTCGCCTCATCCGCGTCGCCCACCGCGGAGGGCGCCGGCTTGTACGCCCGCGGCGCCCGCGGCTGCGGTGCTCCGACCTGACTTTTTGTGGGTGGTTCTTGTCTCATTAGCCACATTCCGCCACCAAACTCTCATCCAAACATATGGCCATGGGTCAAAATCCAACCCGTACCAAAATCCAGTGAACATCAACCACTCCAACCACTAGAATAGGTTCTAAATTGGGTGGTGAATTCACCTACCGCAGAATGTTACCATTGGTTTTGACCCACAGCCTCTTGTTGTGAGGGTTTGGAGGTCTGCAAAGGTCAACCAAAAGGGAAACCAACCACTGGGCCACGGCCAAGTGGGTCAAAAATGCGTACCCAACATGGGATTCTGATAAATGGAACCAAAGACTAAATCCTGCGGTCCCCCGGTGGGATTATTTTGACCCATACCCACTTCTAGGGCTCCCCTAGAGACAAACCTCCGACTTGGGCCCGTTGTTCAAAACCTTCAGAGCCGGCCTCAGACAGGGTTCTCGAACGCCTTTAAGCATCAAGGAGAACATTGAATAGCTTGGCAACCAGGCGATGTTGGAACCACCCAAAAAGGCAAATCCAGCTAACCCAATTGAGCCCCAGTTGTTAATCACGCGATTCAGATCAAACTTGCCGCGAAGCGAGCCAGGCTCGCATGCTGCGGTGCCTCCCGTGGGGTGGGCCCGAAGACATCATCTGCATCTGCGGTTGCCTCGGAACCGGGCTTGGTTCTCAGGGCATTTCGGTGGGGGTAAACCGCTGAGCCCATCGAGCTAACTGGGGGCTAACTGGGGTGGACACCAAGGGCTAACTGGGGGCTATCAGACACTTCGCCAGCTCCCGAACCAGCAAAGTACAGTGGAGAAAGAGAAAGAAAGAAAGTGAACAGTTCTAGACCGCAATGACAGTACGTGGCAAGTACCTACACTAGTGCCAATTACTGCGCCATGCATCGACGACAAAAAAGACAACGAAATTGTCGTTGTTGGCCCCAAGTGTTAAGTTGGGATGTGCTCCTTTGCCAATAGCTGACTCAGCGCAGATGTGCCAAGGGGACCCTCTGGATCCGGATGCTGCCAAAGAAAGGAACGAAACTGAAGCATGTGGGTATGAAGTTGATTGGGGACGCTTTGGTGGACATGATGTGTGGATCTATGTCCACAAACAACTTTTCAGGTGCCCTGGTTAAAAAAAATCCTTGCCACTTGGGCCACAAGAATCACGGCCACTGGATGTTGACATCCGCGCCTTGGGGAGGTCATCCAACGAAGTGGACAAGTCCTGCGGCTCTCAGAAAAATTACACGCACGAAATACCGCGGATGGATGAAATCCGGGTTGAAACCATGGTTGAAACCTCAGACTCCAGGGCTTAGGTGCTGCGGCTTCAGGGATTTCGTCCATCCATGTCCAAGCCCTGTTGTGCGCTTTGGGTCATGAGGCCGTGTCCTGGCCGAGGAGCCTATGAGCAGTTGGTAAAACCGTGGGAGGGGCAACTTTTCCCATGTGGCAAGATCATCTTTTCAGTGGCTTCCCCCAATCATCCCATTTGAAGGTCCTTTTGATCAACCTGATATAGTGTCTCTCTCTGACAGAAACTGTTCAAAATGGCTCTGACCCAGTTTGAAGGTTCTCAAAGAAAACATCATAGTGAATCCTGAAACCTTTCAGCCACGGTCGGACAATGATTCCTCGAATCAGAGTCCTTTTTTTCCAGGTCGGGAAGTGATGAATCCAGAATCACCCTTCCACCTTTCTGGGAAGGGATGTGAGCCACGGGCAATACTCATGCCCCCCATCAAGCAGGCGTCAAATCAAGCCATACCTCAAACTCTTTCCACAAGGAAACCCAAGGCACACACACACACACACGGAAAGGTTCTAAAGGAATCTGAAGGGCTCCTTTCTAACCACCACATATCTAACTCTGGTGTCCAGCCTTTATATCAAATCACCATACCTCAAACTCAAAATTGCCAGGGCATCACTTGTTTAGGGATCTGGATCGGATTCCCGTCGCACATTCACCTCACTTCTCACGTACTTCTCCAGCCCCCCCCGCCCTCCATTCCCCGCATTCGCTTCCCTCGCCTTGAGCTCCCTCAGCAGCTCCTCCGCACCCTCGAGGTCCTCCTCCTACCGGAGCGCGACGCGGTTCCGATCGCTTGGGTTTTGCCTGCGCTTGGGCCTGCAGATGTGACAGTCTTTTAACCCAAGCCCCCCCAAAAAACAAAATGAAAAAGAAAAGGAAGAAAAAAAAAAGGAGAAGAAACAAAAAGGAAAACAAAGTCCTTCGCCAATTCAAAGCACCAGCTAGGCATCTTCTCAAACAGGGCCCAGGCATCCGATGATCTACACCTTCTGCTCATAGGGGGTTCATGTGTTTTTGGGGCGCAACCGCGCGATTTCCCGTTTCGAGTTGGTGAAAGGGAGAGCAAGGGTGAAAACCAAAACCCTTTTTTTTGCGGGCCTTCCTTAGTTTCACATATACCCATCCGTCTTTGGAGGTGGCAAAGAGGACGGTGATGAGCTGCAGATGTCGAGGCACAGGGGAACAACAATAGCCGGAGGATTACGGATGGACTTTGAGCCCAGTTGCACCAAGTAGACCTACGTGATTCTGCAGACGTTTATCGAAACCAAACCTGGGTAGTCAAAACCTATCCTCTGTCCAATGAAAGATAGGAGGGCCTTGGAAGATCATCTTGGTCTGGGGTGAAAGTAGATGGCGCAGTTCGATTCCTTGCATGTCGGTACAGGGGGTGTTGAAACCCAAAGGCGGATCTGCGCCGTCTGTTACCCAACTGAAGACTTGAGTGAAACATGGTTTGGTGCACAAACCCCTTTTGGAAGACTACTATTTTGTTGGAAAGGGAGCCTGTCCACTTCCGTGCTTCTTGGTAGGCTAGCAAAAGACACTAGGCCCAAATACGTCAAGAACGAAAGGAGTGGTAATAACAACAACAAAATGAATAGCAAGGATCGTACTGACCCCTGTCCAGTCTTCGCGTGGGAATGGCGTCTCTAAATAGCAAAACCACGTTTTGCATCCAAGACTTGCTTCAAAGCAAACACCCTCTTCTGCTCCGACCACAGAAAGCCCTCCGTTTTGTGACGCCCAAAAAGGGAATCCGGAGAAAAATCCACCAACCCCTGGCCCCCGCCTTCACCGGCGGCACCTGCGAGCTGAACCCAGGGGCTTGGGGCCGAAGGGAGCTGCTCAAGGAAAGCCGCGGAAATCTGAGCTGGCAAATGTGCTCAAGACCGTCTGCAAAGGGAATGCACGGCCAGCTTGGGTGGACAAAATGGAGCCGTTCGCATACACGTAGATGGAACAATGGGTAAAAGTAGATGGAACAATGCCCCCCATTCTGATTTGACCATCCCTTTCTTACCCGCATACACTTTGGAGTCCTTGTTTTGACAGGGCCCGCCCCTTGAAGCCTGTTTAAGCTTAAACCACTCTGATCTGATTTAAGTAGCCTCTGCCCCGAGAGTCCAAATAGAAATGGGAAAAAGCGGCAGCGCCGCTCTTTTAGCAAGCGCTGCTGACAACTGTGTCCTTCTTTGGTACCCTTGTTCGAACTTGTTTCAAAGGGAAACAATCCAATCACCCATAGTGTCAGTGTAGATGTGTCCCCTTTCTCCTGCCAGTTGGGAATTCGGACACCCCCTAAAATGGACCAAAATTGGGGATCCCTGCAGGTTCCTTCTGTTATCCACCACTAAGAAACAAAAAACTATTCTCCGACAAACCCCTTTTTTTTGACCCAGCAAACCCCCACCCCCCCCCCCGGAAATCCATCGTTCCAGGGAAACCAACTCCTTTGCGCAACCTTGGAGGTGGGAGGTGATCCATCTTCGGCCTCCAGTTTTGGCGAACTCTTCCCATGTGCTTGGAATATCAAATCTATCTAGTGGCTTTCCAACCAACGGTAACCCCCGATGTTCCGATGTTCACGGACCTTTTGATCAACGGACGAGTTACCCTCCCCCAGCTCCCAGGACTACAATTTACAGGGGCCTGGGAGGGTCCATGTAAGTCGGGAGTGCCATGTGGTTCCACCCAATGGTCATCCCATGTATCACGGGTTTGATCAACCTCCAAATAGTTGGCACACTCATACGTGTTTTGTGTTTTTAGTGGGGGCCACTATTTGTGTGTTTGTTTAACTTGTTTAACAAAAAAAAGAAGAAAAAAAAAAAAGTGGGGACCACCCACCAAACTCCCATGAGCCACACACCCCATGCGTCCATTCCTCCGACCCCCCCCCCCCCCCCGCGCCATGCCGTGCATGGCTTCCGGCGCCAGGGCGGAGCTCTGGGCCGGCGCCTGGCAGCGCCCAGGCGCGCGAGGCGAGGGCCAGGCGCCAATATCTCCATGGCTTCTCAAAGGGCAGAGCCCAGAGAGCCCACAGCCATGGATTTGGAGACGACCAAAACCGAGACAGAGATTTCAGCAAATCTGAGAGGACAAAATCTGCCATGGCTAGAAGATTTGGAGAGGATTTGTGCAAATCTCCAGAAAGAAGAAAGACCAAAACCTAAGGGGGGGGAGCCCAGGCAAACCCCTGGGCCCCCGGCGGGGGGCCTCCGAATAGATGGGATCGAGCAACTCGGACCACCCCTCTGCCAGGGCTTCTGCTCAGGCAGGCTGGCCAAAGGGAGTCACACGAGAAACAGAGCCACGATGAGTAAATGCCCCGCCCAGGCAAAATCCGGGGCATTCCTGCCTCTCTAAACTTATGATACCCGCTGAAATTCCAGCACAAACATGTCTAAGATGAATTCCACCAAGGGAAAAGGGTTTATACCCAATAACCCCAAGGGAATTAAAAACCCGGGCGGAGCTCAATTTTCTCATCATGTCAGAGGGAAATCTGATGGCCCAAGGGCCGCCACCGTCGGAAACTGACAGGTCAGAAACTTACATGATCGTCGGACCGTGAATCACATAGAAGTGGGGCGGGGGGATTCCGCCAAAGGAACATGGCTTCTACAACTCACAGATTGGCACCTTGCATGATTGCAGGGCAGGTATGTGACCGTTTGGGTGCGCTTCGCTGCTTTTGGGGGCGCTATCTGCAGCACCTCGAATTTCGACGCTGAGATGTGCTCAGGAGCAAGTGGGAGCCCTTCAAAGTTTTAGAGAAGGAAACTGCCCGAAGGAGCGGAACGGGGAGCACAGAAGATGGCTGGAAGCCTGCACCAAGTTCTGCACCCGCAGCTACATGCAGCAATACCAAGCAACTCGCTGCACGTCAAAGAGCCGTGAAACCACACTCCACTCCAAGTGTCTGCGAGACCGGTCGGGCATTGATTCAGAAGTGATCGGGGAAGGGCAGGTCTCATAGCCAACAAATCAGACTGCCGGAAGGCAACAGCCTTCCGGAAGCATCTGTGAGCTTTGGCATCTGAAGAACCAAAACGGTTTTGCAGCTACCTCCAAAAGTTTGCTTCAAGTGGTGGTATCTTGGGACGCGGGGCCCCCGCGAGGTGGCCGATTTCATGGCCAGCGGCCTTCTTGCATCATGCTTGATATCTCGAGAAGCCCACATTTTGCCTGAAAGAGCAACCTGCGGGTGCTTGTGTCCCATGAAGAATTCAGTTGGGTGTGGGTCAAGAATAGGTACCCAAGATGCCCTGGTAAATGGACGAAAACCTGCGGTCCGATTCCTGGTGACGAATTTTAAGCCATACCCAACTAGCAAAGAAAAATCCGCGAAGGGATGCCAAGCCGGCCGCTCCCTTTCGCCTCCTGCTCGGGAGCCGCCTGGCGAAAGGCATGACACCCCAAGCACGAGCTGCGAAAAGAGGCGTCGGCCAATCTGCGAGCGCACGCCAATGTGTGCCGAGAAATCCTCCTCGAAAGGAATTAGGAGGTGCCCATCCCACAGAGTACGCTTCTCCGGATTCATCTGGGCAAATAACTTCACAAAACGAACATCGGGATTCCGCCGGAGTCGGACCCTGCATGAGTGAGCTTGTGTTGCCCTGATCAGAGCTCGCTACATCACATCCCGCATGAAACAGGGCAAGATATGCTGGAATCTTCAAGAGAGATGACATGGCCCCCGATCTGCCTGAACAAACAGCAATGTGGAGCAACTGAGATGTGCACCGATACCAGGGACAGTCCGTACAGCTTTTCTTCAAGCAGGCTGGGTAACACGATGATTTGTAAAGTCTTGGCCACTGGCAAGGATTCATTTGGGTGTGTCTGTTTTTAGAGGAGCCCCCAAATTGCTGGCTTCTTTTTGGCTTCCCTTCAAAACGACCAAAGCATAGGTACCCTCGCAAAAAAGGAACACCCATTTGCCATTCTATGCCAAATGAAAAAGCAGTCCGTCTTCCTCAACCTCAAGGACTCGTGAACTTCAAGAAATCCAAGAGGGGTGCCTCGCACGGGTGCCTCGCACGGGTGCCTCGTGTCTGGAGGGACCCATTTTGGAAGTGGTTGTTAAAGGGAAACCAACATGAAACCCATCCACCACCATGTTGGAATTCTTTTGTTTTTTTAAGGACACCAAAATGAAGAGCCGCACACTTTGAAGGAACCCCCCATCTTGAGATCACTGGCCCTGCTTGCGGCATGCGGCGCATGCCTCATTCGCTGTGGCAATGAGGTCCTTCCATCCTCTCCTGCCGACCAATGTCGCAGTCTGATGGGATCTTGGCCAAAGCGGACCCCCAACAGACTTGGAATCTTGGCAAAGCGACTTGGCAAAGTTGACTTGGAATCTTGGCAAAAATAGATCTTGGGATCTTGGCAAAGCTGACTTGGAAGGGAAACCAAAGCGCAATGGGCCAAAGGATAACTAAGTCTGTGTCATTGAAATCCGGCACCTAACTGACATGAGGAATCCCAACGATTGGCGAAAGTCAAAAATTAAACGACAACCTGCAGCTTCAGCCAGCCGTATCTCTCTCCACAAGAACGTGACGAAGGGTTCCTTGGCGGAACTTACGTGCGACGAAACAACCTGCGCACATCTTGGATGCAGCTTGCTTTGGCAGAGAAAAAGAGAGAGAGAGAGAGAGAGAGCTTACGCAAATCAACGTGCACAGAGCTCACTTCGAAGAGAAGACTTGCACGGACCAACTTGCACAGAGCCTAAAATCGAAGAGAACACTTACGAGATCAACTTGCACACGGCCAGTGCTGCTTGTGTTTTTGTTCCTCGAAACAACAAAGTTTATGAAAGCACATACACAGACCAACTTCTCAGTTTTCCATTTCCGAATTGAAACATAGATGAAATTGCACAAGTTGATCACGAGAAGAAAAAGCAACTTGCACCGGCCCAGTTGCAGGGCATTTGCTTGCGAACACATGAGGAAGTTTGATCCTAGGCCAAATGTGCTGTAAAAAGCTCAACAACCCTCTGGGCAGAAAAGTGCGAAGTGTAGAGTGCATGGCCCATGCAACCCTCTGCGCCGATCCTGTGCGGTAAACTGGATGCACCATGCGTTCCCCTGCATGGGTTCGGGTCGCACACACTGCCCGCAACCCTTTGCTCACACAACCCTTCGCTTGGACCGTCGCGAGTGAAAAGCAAGCGGGCTAGACACTGCATGTCGTGGTCCGCGTACCTGTTCTTACAAGCAAGCGGCCCAGGGCTGCATGCACCGTGGCCCGCGTGTTGCTGCCAAAAATGGCTATGTGAAGAAGGAAAGTAGCATGCAAGGTTCAGTCCCACAGCTATGGCCTGAAAGCTTATTTGCATATCTAGAAAGTTTACGAAGAATGACTCGTACAGAGCTTGCTTGAGAAAAGAGCATTTACGGAGACAGCTTGTACGGAGCTTACTTGCACAAAGAAAACCTAGATAGAGACAACTTATTGAGCAAAGTGCCAGAGAAAGTGCGCAAACAAACTACACTGAGAGTTTCTGAATAAGTGCCTTAAAAGGCTGTGCACCAAGACCACCCCGAGGCATTGCACAAAGAAAGTGCGCAGAAGTGTGTGAGGATAAAGAAATTGACAGAGAGAGTCGCAAAGAAAGCTGAGAAACTACATAATATTATCAAACTGGAAAGTGCAGGCTAGCATGCAGCGGACTTGGAAACATACGGCTTTATGTCTCAACCGCTCGCTTGGCGTCGCTTGTGGCGCGATCGCTCTCTCCCGTCCTGAGGCGTTTGGCTACGGCGCGGAGAGTCTTGTCACTATGGTCCTGACTTGCTCAGGGCTGCTAGCTCCAGATTCTCACCCGGCGTGCGAACCTTTGTGGGGTGGGCATTGGCTCTGATGCATAGGTGTCCTTTTGGGAGAAATAGATGGGTTTCCCTGGTAGATGAGTAAACCACCTGGCAAACCAGGAATCGCCATCTCTTTGCCCAAAACAACCAAAAAGGACATGACTCTGGCTTACACCGTTGCAACCGGCTCCTTGAAGGGCTGAGTCAGAATGCCCAGCTGGGTTTGCCTGACAAACCGGAGCCTTTCGTCAGGCTTCCTTGTGCGTGTTTTCCTGTTGAGCCGAAGAAGAAACTCGTACTTTCACGTGGCAGGAAGTGAGAGCGTACCATCGAAATACAGATACTGTGGATGGACAACATCCATTTCAAGAAAACCAGCTGGGTGGTGGTTTATTCCAGCTTTCAGAGGGTGTCAGCCATCCTAACTTGTGCCTGATGTGGATTCTGTCCATCCACAGGGCTGTGCCTCGAAAAAACATGGCACCAATTGCTCATATCTGGGGCACACGGAAAATAATACGTTCTGACTCTGGTCCAGAATGTAGCCAACCCCAAAATATATGGCTGTGGGTCAAAAGCAGGTACCCAAAATGGACCCTGGTAAATGGAACCAAAGACTCAAACCTGCCGTCTCCTGGATTCATTTTGACCCAGACCCCAGATAAAATCCCCTGCAAACCACACCCAAAAAGGGACCATCAAAAAAATAGACACCCCCACACGTGGCCAACCCCAAAATATCTAAAATCGTGGAGCGATTTGGGGTTCCCAGGTTGGTTCCTGTGGGTGTTTTTTCGCCCCTTCCGCGCCTCAGCAAGCCCACCGTGGCGGGGATGCACTCCAACTCCTATCGGAACCCCAAGCCCTGGTGCCGCCCCTAGTACCGTGGATGGTTGCGAAATCTGTTCTCACCACTTTGAAACCATGGTTGAAGCCATTGTTTGCTGGTATTTACAGGGGAATCATTCATTCCAGGGTTTCTTAGGTGGTGCAGGACTTTGTCCATCCACAATATTGACACCCCCCCATATGCCTGATCAATGTTTGAGATCGACACGCAACCACCCTAGGAGTCTGTTTGGAAGAATAGATTGGAACGCTGAAATCCGTGCAGGATTGGGATCCCTATTTGAAAACCATTGCGGGGAACAACTCCATTCGTGAGGATCTTGCGGATTGCCTTTGAACAGCGTTTGGAGTATTGCAATGCAAATGCTGGTCATGACAGTAGTAACTGGTAATTGTTTAGCCCCCCGTACTTTCTCTAATGGAGACCAATCCTACTCATGGGAAGGTAGGGTCACGCACAAAAGTGATCCGGATTCCCACTTTTAGTGGGGACACACCCGATCAAACCCAACAAGGGGTTCTACTTTATACGGATTGAGCTTCCTTCCGAAAAATCCCCTTTGCGGTTTTCCAGTGATCCTGGTTTGAAAAGGGAGCTTGGGGTTAACATGAACCAATTTAGCAAATTTAGGAATAACTCTTAACTCACGACCTTGGCTCCACTCAAACGGTTGGTTTACGCCTTTCTATGACCACTCTGGTTGTTTGCCGCTCAAATGGTCCAGACCCAAAGTGACTCGTCAAAAACTCAGGAAGTGGCTGTGGGTCAAAACCCTGTACCCCTGGTGAATATCAAAATGGGTGGCAAATAGATGTTCATCCACCCCACAAATGGAGCCATAGGTTATGCAACCCCTGGCCAAGTGAGCCTATGAAACCAGCCGCACCGAAGCAGTGGTTGGTAAGCCTGGTTATAACCATGGCAAGTGGGTTATAACCATGCTTAATTACTCACCACTCACTAAGTCCCCGATCGCCCCTTTAAGCATGACACCAGCCAGTATTAAAACGGTCTACCCAGAGCCATGTAAAGAGTTGAGAAGGCGGATATCCGCAGCTATTTATGGTTGGGATTGTCCCTTACTAACCTTCATCTATCCGGGTTTTGATATTATGGCTCATGTGACCATCCTAAGCCAACCCTGCACCAACCACAGCACCACAGGAATAGAGGAGGGAGATGACCATGGGTGGGGGGGGGGGTTATATAGGGACTCAAGCGAGCCTATGACACCAGCCACCGCACCGAGCCACTCGCCTCCAGGATCTCCAAAAGCTCTGTCGCGGGCGCTTCCGCGCCCAACGTGTGGAGCCGCTCCGCCAGAGCGAAGAGCCGCACGCTCCTCGCGGTTGGAAAAGCCGTCGGCAGTTGGCACCGCTCCGAAGGAACCGTTCGACGTTCGGGCGGGGGGGGCGGGGAGGGGGCGGGGGAGGCGGGTGGGAGGCGGGGGGGGGGGGGGTTGTCCGGACTTAAGTTGGAATCGCCCAGAAAAAAACTGACGTTCCGGGGGGTGGGGGTCCTGGTTTGGACCATTGTCCTTCTTCAAAGTGACCATGTCCCGAACGTCAGGTTCCATGTGAATTGGCTTCACCACCTTCCTTTTAAACTGGATCCCGAACGTCAGTTCCGTGTGGAAAGGGTGGGAATCTGAGGCCGTGATTGTGGGTCTTTCTGGGGGAATCAAGGTCGAGCGGCAGCAAGCATGTTTCACATATCCAAGGAGAAAGCTTCAACACTTTCTGTGGGCCCAGTTTGAGCCTGCCATGCCTTTCCCAAAACCATTTGTCCAAGTTTCGCCTCCAAAATGGTTCGTTTCCTTCTGGCTTCCCTTTAAAACCAGCCAAACACGATGTCCCGTGTTCTATGGTTTCCATGGTTTTCCACATCCTGTTAAATCCATGGTTCCCCCCCCCAAAAAAAAAACAACTATTATAAAATTATATGTTGTCCCCACAAAAACAAACCAAACCCGTGAACTCCCAGGTCTCCCCCCCCCCCAAAAAAAAAAAAAGAACCCGTGAACTCCCAGGTCTCCCCCAAAAAAACAAACCAAACCCGTGAACTCCCAGGTCTCCCCCCCCCCAAAAAAAAAAAAAAAGAACCCGTGAACTCCCAAGTCTCCCCCAAAAAAACAAACCAAACCCGTGAACTCCCAGGTCTCCAAAAAAAAACAAAACCAAACGCGTGAACTCCCAGGTCTCCCCAAAAAAACAAACCAAACCCGTGAACTCCCAGGTCTCCCCAAAAAAAACAAAACCAAACCCGTGAACTCCCAAGTCTCCCCGAAAAAAACAAACCAAACCCGTGAACTCCCAGGTCTCCCCCCAAAAAAAAACACAAAACCGTGAACTCCCAGGTTTTCCCCAAAAAACAACACAAAACCGTGAACTCCCAGGTCTCCCCCAAAAAAACAAACCAAACCCGTGAACTCCCAGGTCTCGCCGAAGAAAAAAAAAACGTGAACTCCCAGGTGTTCCCCAAAAAACAACACAAAACCGTGAACTCCCAAGTCTCCCCCAAAAAAACAAACCAAACCCGTGAACTCCCAGGTTTCCCCCAAAAAAACAAAACCAAACCCGTGAACTCCCAGGTCTCCCCAAAAAAACAAACCAATCCCGTGAACTCCCAGGTCTTTTGAAAAAAAAACAAAAGCAAACCCGTGAACTCCCAGGTCTCCCCCCCCCAAAAAAAAAAAGAACCCGTGAACTCCCAGGTCTCCCCAAAAAACAAACCAAACCCGTGAACTCCCAGGTCTCCCCAAAAAAAAAAAAGAACCCGTGAACTCCCAGGTCTCCCCCAAAAAAACAAACCAAACCCGTGAACTCCCAGGTCTCCCCCCCCCCAAAAAAAAAAAGAGAACCCGTGAACTCCCAAGTCTCCCCCAAAAAAACAAACCAAACCCGTGAACTCCCAGGTCTCCCAAAAAAAACAAAACCAAACGCGTGAACTCCCAGGTCTCCCCAAAAAAACAAACCAAACCCGTGAACTCCCAGGTCTCCCCAAAAAAAACAAAACCAAACCCGTGAACTCCCAGGTCTCCCCGAAAAAAACAAACCAAACCCGTGAACTCCCAGGTCTCCCCCCAAAAAAAAACACAAAACCGTGAACTCCCAGGTTTTCCCCAAAAAACAACACAAAACCGTGAACTCCCAGGTCTCCCCCAAAAAAACAAACCAAACCCGTGAACTCCCAGGTCTCGCCGAAGAAAAAAAAAACGTGAACTCCCAGGTGTTCCCCAAAAAACAACACAAAACCGTGAACTCCCAAGTCTCCCCCAAAAAAACAAACCAAACCCGTGAACTCCCAGGTTTCCCCCAAAAAAAAACAAAACCAAACCCGTGAACTCCCAGGTCTCCCCAAAAAAACAAACCAAACCCGTGAACTCCCAGGTCTTTTGAAAAAAAAACAAAAGCAAACCCGTGAACTCCCAGGTCTCCCCAAAAAAAACAAACCAAACCCGTGAACTCCCAGGTCTCCCCCCCCCCAAAAAAAAACACAAAACCGTGAACTTTCAGGTTTTCCCCAAAAAGCAACACAAAACCGTGAACTCCCAGGTCTCCCCCAAAAAAACAAACCAAACCCGTGAACTCCCAGGTCTCCCCGAAGGACAAAAAAAAACGTGAACTCCCAGGTTTTCCCCCCAAAAAAAAAACAAAACCGTGAACTCCCAGGTCTCCCCCAAAAAAACAAACCAAACCTGTGAACTCCCAGGTCTCCCCCCCCCCCCAACAAAAAAAGAACCCGTGAACTCCCAGGTGTCCACAAAAAAACCGTGAACTCCCAGGTTTCCCTCAAAAAAAACAACGCAAACCCGTGAACTCCCAGGTTTCCACAAAAAAACAACAAAAAAACCGCGAACTCCCAGGTTTCCCTCAAAAAAAACATCGCAAACCCGTGAACTCCCAGGTTTCCCCCCGCCCCCCCCAAAAACAAAGAACCCGTGAACTCCAAGGTTTCCCTCAAAAAAAACAACGCAAACCCGTGAACTCCCAGGTTTCCACAAAAAAACAACAAAAAACCGTGAACTCCCAGGCTTCCCTCAAAAAAGACAACGCAAACCCCTGAACTCCCAGGTCTCCCCCCCCCCAAAAAAAAAAAAAGAACCCGTGAACTCCCAGGTTTCCCTCAAAAAAAACAACGCAAACCCGTGAACTCCCAGGTCTCCCCCCCTCCCCCCAAAAAAAAAAGAACCCGTGAACTCCCAGGTCTCCCCCAAAAAAACAAACCAAACCCGTGAACTCCCAGGTCTCCCCCCCAAAAAAAAAAGAACCCGTGAACTCCCAGGTCTCCCCCAAAAAATCAAACCAAACCCGTGAACTCCCAGGTCTGCCCCCCCCAAAAAAAAAAGAACCCGTAAACTCCCAGGTTTCCCTCAAAAAAAACAACGCAAACCCGTGAACTCCAAGGTTCCCCCCCCCCCAAAAGAAAAAGAACCCGTAAACTCCCAGGTTTCCCTCAAAAAAAACAACGCAAACCCGTGAACTCCCAAGTTTCCACAAAAAAACAACAAAAAACCGTGAACTCCCAGGTTTCCCCAAAAAAAACAACGCAAACCCGTGAACTCCCAGGTCTCCCCCCCTCCCCCCAAAAAAAAAAGAACCCGTGAACTCCCAGGTTTCCCCCAAAAAAACAAACCAAACCCGTGAACTCCCAGCTCTCCCCCCCCCCAAAAAAAAAGAACCCGTGAACTCCCAGGTCTCCCCCAAAAAAACAAACCAAACCCGTGAACTCCCAGGTCTCCCCCCCCCAAAAAAAAAAGAACCCGTGAACTCCCAGGTTTCCCTCAAAAAAAACAACGCAAACCCGTGAACTCCCAGGTTTCCACAAAAAAACAACAAAAAACCGTGAACTCCCAGGTTTCCCCAAAAAAAACAACGCAAACCCG